AGTGCAGTGGTGTGATCTCTGCTAACTGCAATCTCTGCCTCCCAGATTCAGGTGATTCTCCTGCCTCAGCCTCCTGAGTAGCTGGGATTACAGGTGTGTACCACCAGGCCCAGCTAATTTTTGTATTTTAGTAGAGATGGGGTTTCACCATGTTGGTCAGGTTGGTCTGGAACTCCTGACCTCGTGATCTGCCCGCCTCGGCCTCTGAAAGTGCTGGGATTACAGGTGTGAGCCACCGCGCCCGGCTGACTACATATGCCCTATAAGCCTAAGTCCAAGGCTGAAAGGTGGCTTTATTTTAGGGAAGTTAAAACAGCCTTTTTTCCTTTATTTTTTTGAGACAGGGTCTTGTTGCTATGTTGCCCAGGCTGGACTTAAACTCCTGAGCTCATGTGATCCTACCACTTCAGCTTCCCAAGTAGCTGGGACCCCAGGTGTGCACCGCTGTGCCTGGTGGCAAAGCCGTTCCAGGTACTTCCCTCCCAGTGCACTGCTGACCACCTATTTTCTTTTCTTTTCTTTTTTTTTTGAGACAGAGTTTCGCTCTTGTTACCCAGGCTGGAGTGCAATGGCGCGATCTCGCCTCACCGCAACCTCCGCCTCCTAGGTTCAGTCAATTCTCCTGCCTCAGCCTCCTGAGTAGCTGGGATTACAGGCACGCGCCACCATGCCCAGCTAATTTTTTGTATTTTTAGTAGAGACGGGGTTTCACCATGTTGACCAGGATGGTCTCGATCTCTTGACCTCGTGATCCACCCTCCTCGGCCTCCCAAAGTGCTGGGATTACAGGTGTGAGCCACCGCGCCTGGCCTGACCACCTATTTTCTTAAAAGGTTTAGGAGAGGGCAAGACTGCAATGGCTGAATGTGCTCAGGATGAGATGGCCACATGAGGGTGCCTGGGCTTCCCCACCTCTTTCTGGGGTCTTCCCCCCTGTGGCTCACACTGGAGGCTGGCTCCTCCAGTCTAATAGTGAGAGGGGCCTGGACAGCAGTTCCCTCGTGCCCCACTGTCCCCCACCCCCTGCCAGCGGTGCCCTGAGGTTTGAGCTGCAGACTCACCACTCCGGAGCCCCGTTTCATCCAGACGATGGTCAGGGATGGGTTGCCAGTCCAGGCGCAGCTGAAGATGGCATCAGAGCCCAGATCCACAAGCAAGGATTGGGGTTCTGTGGTCATCCGGGGCCCAACTGTGATGCGAGAAAGAAGGAGACAGGATCAGGTGGGTGGGGAGCTCTGGGACCCTCCTTTTCCCCCCAGACCTCGAGTGGGGAAAGGGAGGCAGCAGGGTACTTGTGTCACCTCAGTCACTTCCATTTTAGTCCTCTGCTTGGGTGGGGTCTGGGGTCTGGGAGTGGGACTCAGGAAGTAAGGAGGAGACCCCTATCCCAAGGCTTAGCCTCTCCCAGGCCCATGGAGGTGGTCAGCAACACGGGTGCTGGGAAGAAGGTGCTGGGGACCAGGTTCTGCCTGGATTCAGCCTCATGACTCTCTTTCCTTTCCCTCTGTCTAGATCCCACCTGGTGCCAGAAAGTTGGGGAAGCCCTCCATCCCAGTGGCGGGCAGGGGCCCTTCCCCTTCCCTGGAAATCTGCGCCTTTGGGACCTTTGTGCCTCTGCCTTCAAGCTCCTCGCATCTCCTCCAGCCTCAGCCTTCATGACCTGGAATCGAGTGACTGGTGCGCCTCTGGGGTGGGATGGGGGCTCTGAGATGCAGGGTGATGGAAGCAGGGGTCTCGTGACCCATGCCTCCTCTCCGCGTTTCCACCTGATGCTCTCAGGCCACCCTCCTATTCCAGCTGTCCCAGCCTCTGTGTCACCCCCACTGTGGTAGAGCAGCTCTGGCTTCCACTTCCCACTAAGCATTAAAGAACAGAGCACAGGCTCCTCTCCACCTTCCTCAGCACGTCCGGGGTCTCTGTAGACCAAGCTTAGTCTACACAGTGGGAGCTGTGGGGGGATTCCAGGCCCAGGGTCCGACCATGGCCAGGCAGGCCTCAGAGTGCTCCTTCCAGGGAGCAGACATAGCCTGAAACCTGGTGTCAGGAGACCCAGATTAGTTCCTTGATGTAAAAAGGGAGCAACAGCACTTTCTTCGGAGGCTTCCAGGGAGAGGGGTAGGGTCAGATTTGTAAAAGTTTGTAAAAGTGAGTTTAAAACTGTCAGGGGCAGTGCATGAACTAAGGATACTTGTTGTGAACACATCCAGCCAGCTAGTCCATGGCAATGGGCTGCCTCACTGCGGATCCCTGCCGGGCCTCCAGTGAAAAAGAGGGCATGTCCACGAGTCCCCTCAGTGGAAGGCAGTGGAGCGTGTGGGGGGGTGATGGATTTGGTCATTGCCTGGGTTCAGTTCTCATTTGGCCACTTACTGTGTGACCTCAGGCCTCCATCTCCTTATTCAGATGATGGGAATAATAGTATCTACCCATAATGGCCTGCATGCTTGTGTCCCCTCCCCACCAATTCATAAGCTGAGATCCTTGCCTCAGTGGGATGGTATCAGGAGGAGGAGCTTGGGGGAGGGGTTAGATCATGAGAGTGGGATTAGTGTGCTTGGAAAAAAGGTCCCAAGAGCTTGCTTCTCTCTTTCTGTCTGCCATGGGAGGCCACAGCAAGAAGGCAGCTATTTGCCAGCCAGGAAGAGTGTCCCCACCAGAAACCACCATGCTGGCACACTGATTTCTGCCACTGAAGCCACTGAGTCTATGGTAGTGTCATAGCAGCCCCAGCCAAGACCTTGACTAACGAGGTCATTACGGGGATCAAAATAAACATGAAACACCACACAAACCAGCTTTTCGCTGAGTGCAAAACATCCTGCACTCATGACACATGAAGCTTATGTTGCATGCAATGAATCCAGCCCCTGTTTCTCCAGCTCTAAGCTGAAGCCACCAGGTGCCTGCTTGCCCAGGGAAGCCCACACCCCTGCACTCACAGTAGACGTCAACCGTGCGGCTGAGGTTGGTGCTGCCCAGGGCGTTGGTCACCTCGCAGGAGACGGGCTCTGAGAAGTATGTGTAGTCCACTGTGGTCCTGTACACCTCTCCAGATGCCTCCTTGATGATCTGGCCTCGCTTGGCCCACCTGCAACCAAGGCCAGGGGCTGAAGTGGGCCGTAAGTGGCAAGGCCAACCCTCTGGGAGCTGGACGCATCCATCTCATGGGAAAATGAGGCCTGGGGTGGGCAGCAAGGGGGCGGCCTCTTGGGAGTCCCTCAAGGGGAATCTTCACAGAGGGGCTACTTCAAGGTCTCAGGGGGAGTTGTTCTTGCTCCCACCCACAAGGTTGTGAAGGTGCTGGACTTTGGTTTTAGGGTGTCACCAGGCAGTCAGTGGCACTCAACAAGTGGGTTATTCTAGAGGGGGTGAGTTGATTACTCGGCTGGTCAGCCCATCTGCTGGCTAGATGATAGAAAATCCAACTATCAGTGAGCACTGGCTGTCTTGATCTGAGCTGGATCATGGGCCCCGTTGGAAAAGAAGGAGGTCAAGTCCATGACCCCAGAGGCCAGGGTCAAATGGTGCATGCTCTTACATGTGCATGAGCGTGCATGCGTGTGCGCGCGTGCACACACACACACACACACACACACACACTGACAAGGCAAGAAGCTGTAGGAGAGGTAAGACATAAGGGCTCCACCTCCCATCCAGACAGGGGAATACTAATACCCATCAGGAGGAGTGGCATGAGTGAGTGGCCCCGCTGCCCCCTCCTTCCTCTGGACCAGCTGGCAGCTCTCCTGTCCTGTTCTGCCTCCTGCCTCCATGGGGTACTGCATGGTGCCTCCTCACCCCACAAAGTCCTCCCAGTTTCCCCGATGGCGCATGCTCTTCTTCCTGCCCAAACGCTGCCCTTGCAGCCTGGCTTTGCTCCTCTGAGGCAGTGGCTCCATCAGCAGTGGCTTGGTGTGGGGAGCTGAGTCGAAAGGTTCTTTTGTCATCCAATTGGTACCACACCAAAGGAGGACAAGAGGCTTTTGGCTTGGTTTGGATCTGGTTCTAGGGCAGTGACACCTGTGTTGGACCAGTGACCCAGCAGCCTGCTGTGTGCAGGCAGCACCAGAGCCCCACAGGGTGTATGTGTAGACACATGCATGTGAATTCATGGGAATGTGTGTGTGCATATGTGTGTGCATGTGTATGTCCGTGTGCATGTGTATATGCATGTGTGTGTCCATGTGCATGTGTGTGTCCATTTACATGTGTGCATGTGTGTCAGTGTGCATGTATGCATGCATAAGCGTGTCCATGTGAGCATGTGCATGTGTCCATGTGCACGTGTGCATGTATGTCCATGTGTCTGAACGTGCATGTGTGTGTCCACTTGTGACTGTGTCCACATTTGAGTGTGCATGTGTCCATGTGTGAGTGTGTAAAATGTGTGCATGTGTGAGCGTGTGCATGTGTGAGCATGCGCATGCATGACTGTGTGGATGTGTGAGCTTGTGCACGTGCGAGCATGTGGATATGTGTGTGCATGTGTGTGTGGATGTGTGAGCGTGTTCATGCACAAGCATGTGCATGTGCCTGTGTGTGGATGTGTGTGTGCATGCGTGACTGTGTGGATGTGTGAGCGTCTGCACATGTGAGCATGTGCACATGTGAGTGTGTGGATGTGTGAGCATGTGCATGTGAATGTGTGCATGCACGAGCATGTGCATGTGTGAGCGTGTGGATATGTGTGTGGATGTGTGAGTGTGGATGTGTGAGCGGTGGACGTGTGAGCGTGTGCATATGTGGATGTGTGTGTGTGGATGTGTGAGTGTGTGCATGTGTGAGCATGTGGATGTGTGAATGTGTGGATGTGTATGTGTGTATGTGTGAGAGTGTGGATGTGTGAGCGTGTGGATTTGTGAGCATGTGATGTGTGGATGTGTGTGTGCATGTGTGAGTATGTGCATGTGTGAGCGTGTGGATGTATGTGTGGATGTGGATGTGTGTGCATGTGTGAGTGTGTGGATGTGTGTGTGGATGTGTATGTGTGTGCATGTGTGAGTGTGTGGATGTGTATGTGTGTGCATGTGTCAGCGTGTATATGTGCATAAGCATGTGCAGTTGGGGGCTTCCTTAAGGATCTCTAGGGAGTGAGAGTTCTCCGTCTACCTGGTTTAATCCTATTCTGGAAAACACTCTTTTTTTGAAACCACGGGAACATCTCTTCAGGCTCCTCCCACTGCAGTTGAAGCATCTGTCGGGAGTTTGTCTTTCCAGAGCTGCAAAGGCTCCTTGCCTCCAGAGCGTCACCCCGCAGTCACTGCTCCCTGGACCTGCAGTGTCTCTGCTCCCCAGCCTGCCCTCCCCTTTCTCTCATTCCTGGAGCCTTTCCTGGCACCACAGATGGTGTATCTTGCCCTTCCCTCCATTAGCTTCTTCCCTCTGTCTAGCCCATCTAGCCCCAAGAGGCAGCTGCTTCTTGGCATCACACAGAACACCTAGGCTGGCACCACGCAGCTGTTATTGCAAATTAATATTGGGTGATTATTAAGAACACAATTAATAATAACAATTATAGTTTGACAACAGAGCAAACCATAGCTCCCTGAGAGCTTAAGGAGCTTCCCAACAAACCATTATGAGTTATTCATGAGTCGTTTCAATTTCTAACTTTAATTTAATGACCAGACTTAATAGTCAGGCCGGCCCCTGCCTGCAGCAAATGAATTCAGTTCCAGAAGTGTGTCCAGTCCCCGAGTTCCTTCCACCCTGCTGAGGTGAGGGGGCCAGGTGGTGGGCGCAGCGGGAGGCCAGGTGGCTGGGCTGGGAGGGCAGGGAGCCCTGGCTGCTCACAGTTCTGGGTGCCAGGCTGGGGCCGGACGGTTTGGGCCCAGGTGACCAGGCCAAGCATGCTTCTTCCTCAGGTCTTTCTAGAGAAGATGCAGCTCCCTCCTCTTCTTCCAGGGCCCCTCACCAGGGGCACCACGGAGGGTGGAAGCCCCACCTGCCTGGCGCCGAATCATCAGCAGAACTGCTGCTGGCTCTGGGCGCCGAGTTTCCCCTCCTGCCCTGTCCTCTCCTCTCAGGGTGAGCGAGTGGGAGAAGAAAGGCTTGGAACGCTGTGGGGGCTGGGTCCTCAGGAGCCCAAGCCAGGCCTTTTGGGGAGGTGCCTCTGGACCCCACAGAGTGCCTGGCTTACATCTCTCCCAGCTGGTCTTTCTTCCCCTCCTGCACTGAAAAACACTTGAGGGGTCCCTGCCAAAAACACAGAGGCTCAAACCACTGCATCCAAGCGGCTGCCGACGGATCGAGGCCAAGAGCCAAAGAGCGAGTCCCTCCGCGCCCCTCGGCGCCTCTCCGTGCCTCTCCTGATTTTGGTGCGGTTTCTTCTTCCCTGTCCTTCCTCTTCGTGTCCTTCCCTCTCCCCACCCACCTCCCCCTGACGCACTGTTGCTTCCCCACCTCTCCCAACCCCTCTGAAAATGCAGTCAGCTTAAGCCTCTCCCAATCAATGTCTAATTTGGACTGAACAAATGTAAGAGGATTAATTATATCACAGAATCAGGGGCCCAGCGTGTCACAGCCACCAGGTTGTCCTCAAATAAGCCAAGTTTCCTCTCGGGTGGGGGTGCCATGTCCTGCTACCTGCTGGGAACACAGAGAGACCCTCAGAGGAAAGGGCCCCAAAGCACTTTGGGCTGCTGGTCCCTAGGATCACCTGCAGTGATACCCCCATGTCACCCAGGCCTCCTTTCCGGGTGCTGGGATGGAAGAGGGCGTTATTGCTAGTTTCAAAGATGACAGCCTCTTAGCGAGAGCAGAGAGGAAGCTCTCAAGATGAATGGAAGCAAAGAAACAAAGATTCCTGTAATCTTGTCAGTTAGTTGGGAAAAATCAATGTACTTATGTGATGAGATTTGCTTACGCTTTTCTTCTTGGATCCCAGCATTGCATCTGAACACCTGGCTGCTTGGTGGGACCCCGCTGGAGTGAAGGGGCTGAGTGAGTGTGGGTGGGTGCAGGCGCACACTGCCTCCCATCGCCGTGGCCCCTCTGCCTCCTCCCTTCCCAGGCCACCCCAGCTCTCTCTCATTAACCGGGGGGCTGGAAGCGCTCCCTGAAAGCCCCTGGAGTCCTGGAGGGAGATGGCCCTGCAGTGAGGTGTTTTCAGGACCTTTTGCTAATCAGAAGGCCAAGAGGGAAGGTGACCAGTAAGAACCAGTGAGTCTCTGCAGGGCGCCCTGCCCTCCCAGCTCCTGCTAGGCACAGGAGGGGCTGACTGTGATACTGTGAGCTCCAGGGGAGGATGAAAGGGGAGGACCCACAGTCCACCTGTAGCCTAGGGAAGGCTGCATGTTTATTTATGAACTTTTTAGCTTGCAAAAACCAACTTTGGAATTACAGAAAAGTTGCAAGAATAGTCCCATGAACTGCCGCCCTCCCGTCGCTTGGATTTACCCGTTATTAACATTTTCTCACACGTGCTTTGCGGTGACCTCTCCTCTCCTCACACCTTCTTCTCCCCCCGTCACTGCTGTTCTGCTTTTTTGAGGTTGATGACCCTGGGAATCAGGCCCAGCACTTGGTTTCCTGGGGGTTTGCTCAACCTGTCCAGGTCAGTAGGCTGGTGTGGGTGGGGGAGACAGGCCTGGGGGGGGAGGGGCCAGGTCCCGGGGCATGCAGCCCTTTGTCTGCCCAGCCCACCCATCACTAGGACCCCAGGTGACCGGAGCCTGGCAGTGAGGGGAAATGAAAGGTGAAAGTTGAGTGCCCAGCTCTCTGGGGTCCAACAGGCATTCTAAGGGCAGCTGTGAGGGCGAATAGGGGTGCTTGCCGGGTGGTCTGTGGGTGTGAAGGGCTGCTCTGCAGGTATTTTTGGGCATGTTGTACCTGGTGTTCAGGGACCAGGATCAGAGACCTGGGAGCAGACAGAAGAGAGAAGCTGAACTTGTATGGAGAAACCCAGGCCTGACAGGTGCAACGTGGAGGCCCAGGGGCAGGAGTCTCATCGGGCTCCTCTCCTGCATCTTCAGTGGCTTTTGAATAGATGCCAGACCCCAGCCAAACCAGACTTCCCCCTGGACCTAGGTGGACCCCATGATTCCAGGGAGTCCAGAGTCCTGGGCTGAGAAGGCACCCTGGAGGTCCTCTGATCTTTCTTCTGACTCTAGTCCAGCAAATGGTTCAATTGGACAGGACCGATGGGTTTATCCTATTTTAATATATCCTTGGGGATAGGACCTCTGTGCTCTGCCTGGGTTTCTGACTCCAGTGCTGCTTAACTATGCACTCTGCAGGGAGCTCCTCCTCATGCCCAGCCTGAATTGCTGGCTGTCACTGTGGCCCATTTCCTTCCATTCTGCCCGCCGGGGCCACACTGCCTCTTGTCTTCCCTGTTCTCCACTCCCCCAGGCCGGCTGATTTCCTAGGCTGGGGCCATTAGCATCCTTGGCCCCTGCAGATGCTGTAGCTTCATGACCCAGATCCGTGGCAGAGGTGACACCGTGGGCTCCACCTCCAAGCCTGGGCTGGTGGAAAGAGGCCGGGCTGAGTCAGGGCCATGGTGAGTTCCACGAGGCATCTAAAAGGAGGTGAGTCTGCCCTTGAGTGCCTCCAAGGTTGCTTAGTCTCGTGGAGTCTTGTGCAGTGACTGTGCCCAGGCAGAAAAGTGCCCAGAGGAGCAGCCCTGTGTGTTCATTGGATCAGCCAGACACACTTAAGGAGTATCTGGTTTATGCCATGTGCTGTGCTACACGCTGAGAGCCATCAACGACTAAATTGCAGTTCCTGCCTTTAAGAAGCTCTGCCACGAGGCAGAAACAAGTAAAAAAAAACAGTGACGCTTTTATCCATGTGGCAAGCAAGAGACACACAGGGCCCAAGACTGTGTGTGATCTTGGATGCTCACTGGACCAGCCTGGGGCCCAGACATCCTGACCTAGCAGCTGAACCTGTGTGGTGGGCGCGAGGCTATGATGCAGGTTCTGATCTTGCTGCTTCTCCTGGTTGTTCTGACTGTTTTCCCTGAGCCTTTTTTTCCTGTGTTTGGCGTGTGGGATAAGCAGGCTATTCAAGCAGAAGGCGTGAGTCCTGCTGCCTCCAGTGGAAGAGGGCGCGTGCACACACAAAGGAGGGGAAGGGCCCACCCGGCCAGCAGGCAGTGGGCTCGAGGGGAAGGGGAGAAGGCTACTGGACACCCGCTGTGGACCAGGCACACGCTGCGGCCGTGCTGAGGACACTAAGTGACATATGTGAGAGGCATGGAGGTGGGGGCCACTGGCCTGGCCAGGCCTCCTCAGCAGTGACTCTCACCTGTATTGGGTGACAGCTGGGTTGGCCTTTGCAGAGCAGTGGAAAGTGACGACGTTGTCCTCCAGCACTGGCTGTGGTTCCACGGAGAGGTTGACCAACGGGGGGTCTGCAGGGAGAGGAGAGTCACTTGTGGACCTGAGAAAGAATGGGGACAGGGAGACCCCGGGAGACATGGAGGATAGAGCCAGAGACTCCACCACCCAGGGACCCTCAGAGCAGCCACTGCCCTGGTGGTCTCTAGGAAGTTGGGAGTGCCATGGGAGGTGCCTGCTCCAGAGAGTCCTGGAGGTGGGATCAGTGGGCCCTGGCGTTGACACAAACCCAGAGCCAGGAAGCCTCAGGCTTGGGCCCAGGGGTTGCCCATCCTCCAACTTTTGGGCAGAACAAAATACTCCAGGAAGGAGAGGTGGGAAGAAAAGTGCAGGGCAGAGAGGGGCACGTGGACACTCAGCCTCACTTCAGTGCGGACTTTGTCTTTGAAATGTCCGTTTATTATCTCTTTTCTGTAAAGGTTCTGGGGCATTTGTTAACTTGAAAGTGGCATTTACACCCTTTCATCAGCCTAATCATCTCGGTTGAGTCCTGGCTGCTGGTGCCAGGCCTCAGCTCCCCAGGCCGGGGCTGGCTTTCTCATTTGACAGGATAAGAAGACAGGCTCTGAAGTGCTAAATGGTGGGAGAGGGAGGAGCCAGAAAGTCAGAGAGAGAAAGAGTCAGAGAGGAACCAGAGACACAGAGAGAGACACACAGAGACACCTGTGCAGAAGGGATTGGAGGCCGACAGCAAGACAAGTACCCAGAGTAGAGACACAGAGACCACAGAGGAAGAGAGATTTTAGGGGTGTGTGTGCGCGCATGTGTGCATGTATGTGTGTGTGCATGCCTGTGCATGTGTGTGCATGTATGTGTGTGCATACGTGTGCATGCATGTGTATATGTGCATGTGCATATGTATGTGCATGTGTGTGCGTATGTGGTGTGTGTATGTGTACATGTATGTGTGTGTGCATACGTGTGTGGATGCATATATGTGTGTTCATGTGTGCATGTATGAGTGTGCATGTGTGTGTGCATGTGTGTATGTGTGTATGCATGTGTGTATGTGTGTGTATGTGTGCATGTGTAGAGAGAGAGACAGAGATGAAGTGACAGGGACAGTGTGAGACGCAGGCAGAGAGACAGAAAGACACACACATAGAAACTGAGAGTGCAGAGAAAGAGTGAGAAAAAGACAGACACCTAGAGAAGCAGAGGGCAGAGTGACAGCGAGATGGAGACTCAGAATCAGACAAGGATTTCAGAGCAAAAGCAGGAAGACCATGAAGACCCGGCACGCAGGACCCAACAATGACAGGGTGTTGGAGAGAAAGACCAAGTCAAAGAATGAGGAGAAGAGACACGAGGGAGGAGCAGCCTGCAGGATGGAAAGAGGGAAACAGCACGAGGGGCTGCCATAAAGAGACGGAGGTGGGAATGGCTTCCACTGCCTGGCCGTGCCTGGCTCGGGGCAGCTGGCTCCAGACCGTCTCCAGAGGCTGCTGTCACCCCGCTGCTGGGCTCCCGGTGGCCTCCGGCCTCCGCACCCCTGGGACATCCACACTTGGAGGGAAGGGAGATGATGAGTCAGTTCCCATCCTTCTTCCCTTTGACGGCCCAGAGGTCTGGCTGAGTTGAGTGGGCAGCCCGGGACCTGGTCCTCATGGACAGGCTGGGCCCTGGGCCACATCTTCTGGGTCAATCCCCACCAACAAGCAGAGCAAATTGCTGGAAAGTCACGGGGACTTTGAGAGGTCCCAGCCCATTTCCAGAAAAAGAAGTAAAGAAGCCAGCGTCTCAGAGGCAATGAGGAAAAATGCTGGTCTCTCTGGGTCCCCATGGGGGCACCATAAAGGGAGTAAAGCCCCACCCGGCTCAGTTGGTCTGGGCACTGGCTGGGACTATGGTGGGGTCCTGAGACTCTCAGAGAGTCATCATACCCTCAGCCTCTCAGCTGCAACCTCTCAGCCGGCCCTACCCTGGAGTTGGAATCATGTAACTGTTCAGCCGCCCTCTGCCTGCTGGTGCCCAAGAGGACCCTGCCTTCCCGCCTAGTGCCAGGCACAGGAGCTGGCCCGCGAGATGGCTCCGGGGGCTGTGCTGGTATCTGCAGGCACTAGGGAGAGAACTCTGTTTCCTGAGTAGCAGGTGGCCGACTGTGTTCTCCCACATTTTCCCCGGTTCTGGACGGGGGACCAAAAATCTGGGAAACATCTGCTCTGGTGCAGCCGGCCTGCCTGCCTTTCGTGGATAATTACAAGGGAAGTGGTGGGTATTTCGTGATCTCAATCCCAGTTTTAAGGCATAATTCAGGTGGTCACAAAGATGGGGTGACAAGGAATACCCATGAGAACTCTTCTCCCACCCCCAGAGCCCTATGGCCTCTCCTTGAAGCTGTACCCTAGCTTCCAGGGCAGGGCTGAACTAGGAGTCCCAGCCCTCTTTCCATGCCGGGATGGCTGGCTGAGCTGGGCATCCGTGGGACCCTATCTAGAGAAGATGGGCACTCAGAGAGGAGCTTGCATCTTGCTGTGGGCTGGAGGAGCAGCGCTGAGGTGGAGGAGCTCGGGAATTGCCACCTGGATCCAAACACTCGGCTGGCTGGTGCTCTTGCATTATGAAGGCCAACGCTGGGAGGTGGAGTACCCACACCACGTCTGGTTTGAGGAGGTGAGTGCCAGTCCCATGGACTTGAGGGACCCGCCACAGAACTTGGGGGGCTGTTCCAGGAGGCCCTTCCCTCACCTGGGGGTCCTCTCTAAAGTGATGAGATCTGAGAGGCAGGGAGGCGGGTCACACACCTGCTGTAGGACCTTCTTGCTGCCGGATGCCCCGTCACACCCCTGCCATGATCAGTTTACCCATGAGGCCTCCCTCTCTCCTGCACTCCTCCAGCCCCCACAGCATAGTCCTTGGTGATCACCTGCCCTGAAGCCACTCACAAGGATTCCACACTCACTGGCATTATCTGCACCTCCACACCAAGACCAGAGGTGACCAAGCTTCTCTCTCCACTTCTCCTGGTGCACAGAATATAAATTTTCAGGAGTCTGCCAAGCTCCAGAGGTATAAATAGTTTATGCCATATCCAACTATTAAACATGATTTTAATCCCACTTGTGATGTCGGCAGCGTAACTTGCGGGAGGGCAGCTTTGATGTAGCTGGTGGAACTGAGATCACATTGAACAGATGTTACAGCTGAGAGTCTGTTAGTGTTTCCATCCGCCCGTGTGTGTGTGTGTGTGTGTGTGTGTGTGTGTGTGTTTTCAGGGGAAGTATTACATGGAGGAGAGGGTGGGAAAAGAGAGAAACTTCATGACTCAGTGATTTCATAGCACATTCATTTGAAACTTGGCAGCTGGACACAGAGTCCAGATGTGGTGAGGCTTTGGGGGTGTTAAGCTTTCTCTCCCATTACTCAATCTGAGGGCTTTGTCTTCCGTTGGGTAACATACGAAGACCAAGAGAAACAAACAACAAATGTGCTTTTGCTGAGTTTGGATGCTTCTTGGTTGGCTGAGAAAATGAGCAGGTTCGCAAAGGCAGCTCTGAGGCAGCCCGTGGTGTCCTTAGTAAACACTTGGAGGCTGACCAAATGAACAAATGAGTAAATGGAGGAGGAGCAGGTGCAGGAGGAGGGGGAAGGAGGGAGGGCGGGCTGGAGAATGTGTGCTTTGCTTGGCAAGCATGTATAAGCACCTTCAGGTTAGGGGAGGTGGGTGCTGGGACAAACAGATGACCATCCCTTCCTGTTAGGACTCTGGGGACACCTGAGGAGGGTGCCGCTCACCTATGGGTGGGTCTGCATCCTGACAGCAGATGACAGGTGTGGGGCGCTCACAACGTGTCAGATACCGCGCTAGGGGCTTGACAAGAAGGATTTCATTTAATCCTCACTGCAGCCTTAGGAGGTGCATGACTACCGCCATGTACAGACGAGGAAACCAGGCATAAGGAGGTTAACTAACCAGGTCAGTGCCACTCAGTAAGTGGCAGAGCCAGAGTTCAAAGCAGGAAGAATGCTGTGGCCTTCCTCACTACCCAGTACTGCCTTGGATGAGGCTGATCTGGGAAACTGGGCCGCTGGGCTCCAAGTGTCTCTCTGACCTCATTCCGATGCCTCCTGAGGTGGCTGAGATGTCTTTGGAAAGGAAGCCAGAAAGGGCCCAGAGACCTGGCAAGGCCCAGCGTCCTCCCCCGGGTGCAGACTGACACCCGGTAAACGATCCTCTACGGACATGAGTGCAGAAGGGCTCTGGTTAGGATGGTGACTTTCCCATTGCCTGGAGAGGTTCTCCTAGGGTGACGGGTGGTGGCCTGGAGCAGGAAACACGGCTTCTTCCCACCTCTCCCTGTCAGGACCTTCGCAGCTGTCGCAGGGGGCCAGCTAGATTGTCACTTTTGTCCAAGTGTAGCCTTTTTTATAGGCCTTCTGACCAGGTTGGGGACCAGCTGGGGAAGGAGGGCAGGGGGCTGTGGTGGCTGAAAACCAAATGGCAACCTGGGAGTAGGACGCTTGGATGTTCTGTGTCTCTCACCTTTTCCCTTTCCTGATTTGGATTGAGTCTGGACAGAGAGCTCTGATCTGTGGCCTGTCCTAGGGCAAGAAGGGGCCTTGGATGTCATTCGGTTAAGTCAGACAAGGAACCAGAGTCCCCGGGGGTGACGTGACAGGCGTGGGCCCAGCCCGCTCATGGGTGGCAGAGCCATCCTGGACGCTGGACTGCCTGGCCTGGCAGCATCTCACCTCTCCCAGCAGCGGGGCTTACTGCTCCGTGCGGGCTGCTCGCCATGCAGGAGGAGGTGGTGCTCAGAGCAGGACCCAGGCCAGGGCCAGGGGAG